CGTGAATAGGCGTGTGGGAATTAATTATTCTCTCATCAACCTAATCTCCATTATATATAGCACAAGGAATTAGAGTCCCACATAGAGAGGATTACATGGAAACAAATCCCACTCATTCTATAACTCTATATAGTCGAAAATTACAATCCAAAGGGGACTTAATTTTCGGCTATATTAATTCCAATATATAATATTAGTTGAACTTTATTTTCTCGATTAATTAGAAAATCCATTGGGCTACAATAGGGACTAAAGGAGAAAATATAAATCGGGCAACTAATAATTAATTAAATCCAAACTCTTAAAAGAATTCATTTAATTAATCTTTAAATAATTATTTATTTTCCACTACCAAATAATTATTGAACTCCCGTTTATATTCTCAAATATTACATTCGAGCTCCGGTCGATCATTACATAGATTCTCCCCACATTAAGATATCTTATAACCACCAAATAATTTATTCACTGCTAAATAAATTAAATGGTTTCTTTTCATGAGTCTTACCCGCTTAACTTATTTGAGTATGCCGGATACGAAATCCACCTGGCCAGGACTTGGCATAAACAAATCATATAAGCTACTAAAGGGTTATTATCAATCTCATATTTCAGAGATGTGGATTCCTTTCGATAATCAATTTCCATCTATTAATTCTTAATGTCTCTACCCAACGCACCGGGGGCCATTTGACTCAATATAGGAATCTCTCCCATTGTGACATCAAAGTAGAGATCATCAATTAAATATGTACGTTAATTATCTAGGGATTAAGAGAGTAAGTAATTTACTGTCAACTAGAAATAATACAGTTTCATTTTGAACAGTGATGAGACAATTATTTCACTTTGTCCGGTTCAACACATGCCGGGTGTGCTAGCACAATAAGTCAAAACAATAACTACAAAAGTTATTCTCTGTTTACTGTGATCAAGACCAATCACTTAAATATTGTGCTACAATCTTTTACCAATGGTTAGTCCATTTCCATCTAGATTGTGAACGTTTATCTTTATATTCTAAACGAACTTTCAAAATGATCTTTCTGTGCGCCGTAGCACACCATCTCGAATACTATTAGAATATTAGACTTATGCTTTTAATTAATTGACAACCAATCAATTAAATGCATTGAATACCCTAGTGCGGATTCTCATAAAATGATAATAAATTATTTTATTAATTCAATAATAAAATTATGAAGCTAAAAGCGAGACTTTTAGTCTACTATCCTAACAGGGCATGTGCTTATGTGCTTTAAAGTCGTTTAAATCGCATTAAATTTTTGTTTTCCGCTGCGTACACGTGCCCGAAACCCAACAGTTCAATTAATAGAACACATATATAATATTGATTATAATTCAACTTAATTAGTAGTACCTCAACATTATTTGAATGATTTATGCTAGTTGAGGTTCTATAATTATTTTGAAAAATCCGATAATTAATTAATGTAATTAATTATATAATTAGGTCGTATGTTCCTCTTAGGACAATATGCGTTTCCATATACCTTTAGAGAACATAGATGTAGGAATCACATAGACCAATCCGAACCTTCTGATGAGATAAAACTTTCAATAAAACCCCTCATTCTTAATCTAATTGAGAATCATTTCAAGCTATAAAGAATGACCCAATCTGTTGAGTTATTTCTTTCCTTCTGCCAACGGTTGGATTATGTGTAGCCCTTTACTGTAGTGCAGTAAGCCGTGTTAGCGGGGAGAACTATGGTAGAGTAAGTTGTAATTCAGTTGACATAGTGATGAAGGTAGCCATAGAAAAGGGTTATGTTGGATTAACGTGGTCGGCTAGATTAACTAGGGACTGCATTAGTTTGGCATAATCAAGTTCTATGAGCATCTTTGATTGGTAGGTTAGACTTGACACACGACGATTTTGATATTCGCGAGATTAACTTAGGTCATTATCAAGTGTGAGGAAAATTAATTTAGGGTCATATTGTGGATATGATTGATTGTGATCTACCTTTGGGCAAATATAATCGGGCTAGATTAACTACGGGTTATATTTGTCTATTGGACCTAAAGCCCATTAAGAAAAATCAGTTTTCTCGTTTGTCTACTAGAGGGAAGTGGAACTCGATAAAATTAGTGGGAGAACAATTAAATAACATAAGTCCAAACATTTAATTGTAACAATCATTTAACGCGAATCTCTAATAATCATCTTCTCTATATGTCTCAGATAATCATGTCTAAGAATCCCATAATGTCAATCCTCGACAATAAACTCAATGGCCCTAATTACCTAGATTGGTTGCGTAGTCTTAAGCTTGTGCAAATATAATCGGACTTGACAGCGAAATGGTGGGTGAAGTGATCCGTTAGTTGGGAGATAGCTTCAATTGACCCGGTGGGCAAGGAGTTGAACCACCTCAATGCTCGTTCGGAGAGCGTTGTGCGAAACATCCTGCACATCGCCGCATCAGATGAGCCATATAGATCTGCTATGGCGTAGAACTTTTCAAGGTTCTCATGTGGGTCTCTAGTTCCATCGAAACGCGGTAGACTCGAGATCTTTACCCGTTGGGGTAGTATCTCATATTGCGATAGTGAAGGGACTGCGCCTTATTGGAGGTATTGCCCTTCCACCAATGGGATTACCTATGTGGGGAAGGTGATTTCAGCGAGATACCCGACTGTTAATTACATCCTCTCCACCATTGTGTGGAGGAGCTCGTTGGCGAGAAGCGTTGCCTCATGAAGGTGAACGTGGGTCTTGTCGCCCAGTTCGTGCATCTTGGCGATGAGTAGATTGTTGCATTCGAGACCTAGGTTTTGAGGTGGATGTGGTATCCCCTGGCGGTGGAGGTTGTTGTGGCACGGGTGGAGATGCAAGGGGAGCGTTGACTCCAGTTGTGGAGATGTATTGTGCCACTGCTTCAGTGGCAACACGAGCTGAAGCTTCCGCAATCATGTGTTGGAGAGCCTCTTCGGTTATCTGAACCATTCGAGGAGCGGGGATTAGTGGATCCTGCGGGGGATTTATCTGGATCTCATGAGGTGGATCCTGTTTACGAGGAGGAAGTGGCAAACCAGAGCCTCTGCGGGGTGGGAGGTTGTTAGCATTGGCACATTCTCACCGTGTAGATGACTCAGGGACATCACGCACGCTACGTGATCTTGTATGCCTTTCCACAGATGACGCCATTATGATGATGCTAGAAATAGATCACCTTAAATAGTTGAGATAGAAGGAGTTGGGAGAGTAAAGTGGATCACTGGCTCATGAGCTAGATGGTCCTGAGATACCTGCGAAAAGAGAACACGTGAACTAGGCTGGGGGTTGATCCGGCGGAAACCCCTCCGACGCTCAAGTTAGACGTGCAGATTGTAGAAAACAGTTGAGGGAATACGAATTGTCGAATTGGTTCGATAAATAGGGCGTACCTTTAATAAATGAATTATGTGGTTATTTATACCTTGTCGATTGGGGTTTGGTTAATTTGTTAGGCCAAATTTTATTTGAATGTAATGGGACTTTCGTAATATATTCTTCTAGATCAGACTCGTGGCCCAGTACATAAAGAAATAATAGTCTAATTGGGCTGGCCCAATTAGACATATCGAAAATATGTACCTCCATGCAGGGGCGAGTCCACCCAAGGGCTAGGGTGGACTCCAGCCCCCCCTCTCACTTTCCAAATTTTTACTATTATATATATATATATATATATATATATATATATATATATATATATATATCTATA